AAGCAACAGCCATTCATACAATTAATGACCTGAGTAATTCAAGTCCGGTGCAAAAACGCATGATCGGACGGGCCCGCCCGGTGCGTTCCAGCTTGGGTTGCGTTATGCTCTCATACACCGATGATTTCGCTTCCAGTCGAGAGAGGTCGCTGGTTGCGTCACTTTGCATGCAGCTGAGACGAACAAACGCTGTCGCAGAAGCAGTGGCAGTGGAGCAGTTTATTTCGAGTAGTAAAGCTAGTACTTTCTCCCAGTATGAATGGCACTTTGACTTGTTGGGCTATATTTACAGATTGAAGTGCCTGAAGTGTCACAAAGTGAAGAAGGACAGAAGCAGAAGTTACATACTGTTATCGAAACAGTTAATCGGATTATAGCTCAAGGACAGTATGAGAAGGCGAAGTGGAATGCGGACATGATCCATAATAAGGTACGTACAATTGCGTGATTTTCAAAATTTGCTCGCTGATGTTGCTCCTGTACGAATTGCTGTGCCTGAAGTATAACTGTTGCAGGACACAGTGGCAATTGTTCAGCTGCTGGTTGCGATTGCAATGCACTTCCGTGCACCGGTTAGATTCCCGGAATACGTAAATGCTCAAGTGCTTGTTGTACAGAAGAAAGACAATCAGATCAGAAGTCGCTACATGACGGAGCAACTTACCACCACACAGCTCGAACTGGGTGTCAAGGTCTGGAATGTGCATTACTTGTTCGACACAGTATCCTGCTTTTCAGATCGCTTATTGATTTCAAACTTCGCACTCTAGTCATCCGTACTCGTACGTTTTCGCGGTTACTTCTGAATTCCCTTGTAACATTTCGCCCATATTTTTTTGTTGTATAGGTACTCCTGCTGATGGAGGATACACCAGCAAATGAAAGTTAGCCAAGACAGCTATCGTACTTGTCCAGAAAAGTTCACGTGCCTTTTTTGCTTAGTTTACTATGAGCAAAGTGCTCGTTTTACTGGTGCAAAACTTTTTTCTTGACAGTGAAGACACAGTTTTAAAGCACACAAAAAGAATAATTGGCCAACGCACGAGCTGCCCGTGCGAAGATGCGTTTTTTGTATAGCTCCCCGCAGATTTCTGTCGCCGACGGCACTGGTTTTTCCGGCAGATGCTTCTAGCTAAAAGAATTTCAGACTGGCCGCCAGAACTGTCAGGTAACATACCCTCAAAATTCCAGTCTTCTAGTTTTTCGGCAGATGCTTCTAGCTGAAAGAATTTGAGACTGGCCGCCAGAACTGTCAGGAAACATCCCCTCAAAATTCCAGTCTTCTAGCTCTCTCACGTTCTCGAGTTAGCAACTTACCCGGAAGAAACTTTCACGGGCCCGTACGTAGGTACCACGCTTATCCGTGAGCAGGGTTTGAACTCGTTAATACCCAATTGGACAAGGAAGATCCCCCAAGATTTCAGCGTTCTAGCTTCGCAGATCCCCGAGTTATGAACTTACCCGAAAAAAATTTTCTCGGGCCCTTACGCGGATACCACACGGGTGATGGCGCCCATTTTGGGGGGTTGGGGCCGGCACGTGCATGTAGATTAAGTTCCCGGGATTTCAGCCCTGCATCTTTCATAGGTCTTGAGATGAAAGTGCGTGACAGACGCACACACAGACAACCCCTCGTTAATAAACGCTTTTGCACTGCATAGCTGCAAAAAACGCATAAAAATATATCCTAATGGAGAAGCGTACGCTTCAGGGCGAAAGAGACGCATTCGATACGTTGTTCGATTATGGGCCGGACAAGCTGGCGCACGTAAAGAGTTCCCTGCTAGCTTTCTGCAACAAGCATCTCAATAAAATCAATTTGGAAGTGACGGATCTGGAAAATCAATTTCAAGATGGCGTTTACTTGGTGTTGCTAATGGGCCTACTCGAGGGTTATTTCGTGCCACTCTACAGCTTTTATTTGCAGGTGAACAGACCAGTGTGTCTCTCAACTTTCGTGTTTTCTAAAATACCATCCCAGATTGATCAGCTTAGTTCGGCTTTTCTTTGACAGATGATTGAGGCACTGTTTGTCTTACAGGTCGTGACCTACGAGCAGAAAGCACACAACGTTACGTTTGCATATCAGTTGATGTACGAAGCAGGCTTGCAACGACCGCGAGCCCGAGTGCAGGATATTGTGAACGGTGATTTGAAAAGTACCCTGCGCATCCTGCACTCACTGTTCACACGGTACAAGCATGTATGAAGCAGAAGCCGCATCATCGACCTCTTCTTTTTTTCACAGCGTTTTCATTTCTAACCGGTGGCAAGCATACAGTGTTCACGAAGCTTTGCAGCAACGTCTAGTACCAGGCCATCATTCATGTAATCAGCGATAATTTGCACTGCCAGCGGCAAGTCCTTCCGCTGCGCTGCTCGCGTGAAGGGCACCGAAACTGCAGGCACACCGGCCATATTGCTTGGCTGCGTGTAAAAGTCATCGGCACGTTCCCGCACATAGCCACTGCTATCACTGAGCTCTGAGAAGAGAGGCGCCACATCACTGGTTACCGGTGTTAACAGGACGTCGCATTTTAATTCCCGGAAAGCACGATCAAAATCCGTCTTGATTAAACGTCGTAGGCGAAGAGCTTGCCCAAAGTACTCGTCGCAGTGCCTGCAATCTTTTCATCATGTTAGTTCAGCCAGGATGCACAAGCAGCTGCTTAGTTCTACGCGATATGTCATGCGGTTTGCCCTCATCACAGCAGCGGCAGCACACTTAAAGGCAGTAATCACATGTGTACCGTTTCATTAGAAAATAATTGCCGGCGAATATCCTTCTCCGCACGACCTCGTTTAGTGACTCACTTCGTGTGGCCGAATACATGGCAAATGTTGATTTGCCACAGTCCGATCGATGCCCATATTTCACTCCGTCAAACCTGGAATGTTAAAAGGGTATAAATGAGAAGGCTACGAAAGAGAAAGAGAGATAGGCGAAAGCGAACCTTGCCATATTAGAAGTGATATCGGCTTCGGCCAGTACATGATAACAAATTATGGAGTAGCTCGTCCACGGCATACTCACTTCTCTCAGCTTACAACCTTGTGCGACCAGCACTTTTGCTGCTTCATTCCACGCATCCCAACAATCGTGCGACAGAGTGTCATTGTAATACTCCTGCAACATGCTACATTAAGCGAATGAAGTAAAAAAAAAAAAAAAAAGTCTAAACGCCTGACTTTTCATATGTCCCCGATAAGCTAGGATGTGTATGTTTCGCCAACACTCTTGGTGAATTGAATCGGTGGCATGCCAGCGGCTCTTTCCATTCCTTCCCCATCTTTTGCGTCTTCTCACCCTTTCTGCCCTGAGATGATGCGCCAAATGCGGTAAAAAAAAATGCGGAAAACTGAGTAAAGTAGCGCAAAATTGCGTCGGAAGCAAGCTGCAGTCAGGTGAAAGCACAGCACAAAAACCTGCAAAAAGGGCATCAAAATTAACCGGACAGTACTATGAGTAGTGGCTCCCTGGCCTGCTAAAACGTTAGGAAAAAAGTGTTCTATTTGAGCTTTTGCGAAGGGGACATGTCATTTGGAGCAAAGGACATTCTTTTAAACGAAGGGTTGCCGTCTTGAGTGGGGCATGAAAACAGTGATGCCTCCGTGCCGGCTTTTCGCAGAAGCTAGTCACGCCACTGACTGAATAATTGAGAAGCTGGTCATTTCGTGATTGAATAATTTGTTTCACAGACTGTACTGATTGTAAGCTGAATGTATAAACAAAGTACAGATGAACTGCGGTGAAAGCACCTCTTGATCAGAAATCACCAGTTAAAAAAAAAAAAAAAAAAAAAAAAAAAAAAAAAAAAA